CACACACACACACACACACACACACACACACACACACACACATAGATGCTTAGAGGGACAGCAGTGGGGGAATACAGTACCTTGCGTGCTGACTGGGTTGGTGGTGGGTGTGGGGGTAGTAGTGGGAGCATCTAGATGAAAAAAAAAAGAGTGGGAAAAAAATAAAGAACATGTATAAGAAATAAAGACAAGAGTAAAGAAAGAGACAAAGTCATTGAAGATGGGAAGCTGGGCTAAAAAAACAAAACAAACCATGCCCATGTTGAATCTACTGTGTGAGTAAAGTGCACGTTAGTCGCTGMGAGGCTGAACTTAAAATAATGAGTTTACATTGTTTTAAGTTTCTGAAGTAAAAAAAAAAAAACAAATGTCAGCACGGGAACATTAAAATATGACTTAACTGGTACTAATGGCCCTACAGACAGCTGTTTCCACACAAGTGGTGACATTAAATTTAAAATTTTCTTCTTGTTTCGCAAAGATCTTATGAAATAATAAAGCTTGAGCAATTAAAAACTAAATTAAAAACCTAATTTAAGCTTTTGTTGTTGTTTCCTTTTATAATTTCACATAAATTTGATCAAAATGTATTAAAATGAGGTTGAAAAACTTTAATGTTTTGTTTTTAAAATTTGCTCAAGAAGTTGTTTTTTTTTGGTCTGATGAAACATAAAAGTTTGTTACTTTTATTATTTTTGTTTTTTAGACGACTTGTTTTTTTCAGGGCCTGAATATCTCAAAATGAATCAAATCGAGAGTGCAGATCAGGAGTGATAAAATGTTATGTATTTAAGGGGTTTTAGAAAGCAGTGAGGGAGCAACAAGCCCTTTGCAAAAAGTTAGCACATCAGTGAAATTAAAATAATAATAATAATAATTTTCTGTCACTGAGAAAGCTCATATTTGTTTTGTCAAGATCCAGGCTAGAAGCATGATTGCAGGAGGAATTCAGTCTGTTTTAATGTTCATGTGTTCAACTGACATTTGTTTTTTTAAACAGCCACAGTAATATTTTTATAGCCCTGTTATCCTTTAGTTTATAAAATTCAAAAGACACTGAAATGTCATGACATGAGCCAAACTACCAGTCAAACGTCACATAATGTGCAGCTCTATGAATAGTTTGAGGATAAAGGGGGTTTATCCTCTGGAAACAAAGCAGCCTGACATGACAGAAAGGCCTGTGGTAAACCCAGGAGAATGTGTTTGCAGGAAATGCATGGACAGATTTCTTTAGCAGGTTTAAGGGACAAATAGGTGTTTGGATTTTCTTTTATTGGCTCAGGTTCTAGTTCTGTCATTAACTTTAAAACTTTGAGGCTTTTAATTGACAAATTAACATTTTTCAGCAAAAGCTAAACAAAAACCAAGCCTTTCCACTGACGTCAGGCCCTATTGACTAAATTTTATATTTTCAATATTCAAAATACATGATCAGTGGTTACTGATCAGTGGTTCTGTCCACTGATTTAAATAAATCGTGAATGAGTAAAACTAACTATTTGTACTATAGTTCCTGTATTTATCAGCTGACTTGTGATGAAATCTAAATATGATGCTTATTCTACACTTAAAAATACAAGATTACCATTTGTGTTCAGTGCTTGTGATCTGAGGATCATGATTTTTTTGTATCACATTATAGCACAACATTAAGTTTTGAAGTGTTAGACCATTAAAGCAAAAATGTCATTCACAAACCAACCTAAAAAGTACTTTATACAAAAAAAAAATGAAATTTTACCTTGTGAAGTTAGTGTACTTTAAAAAATATATATTTAGCAATTAATATTAAAGAATAACATCTGACATTGGTGGAAAACATATTTCTGCTTCCCACAGTCTGGATAATCAAGCCAGACTAAAAATTAAAGTGCTTTATTCTCCTGCTGCAACACAGCAGAGCTCACAGCATCCTCTGCTGCAAACTGTACTTATTAGGCCCGTCACTAACTCCTAACAAAATAACCAAAAAGACAAAATGAAGGGCAATTCAGGTATGCAACAGTACTAAGGAGAGCTGAAAGCTCTGCTCATCAGGGGAATATTTGCCAGGCTCTGGTGCATGGGGAAGATAGCCCGACCCCTTGCTGTGGGAGAACTGCAGCAAGGGAAATTGGCTGGCTGTTTCCATGCCTTTACTGTCTGCACTCCATCAAAAGACAGCAGTGGGGGATCACACACTCCCAAACTAATGATAAAACATCAAGGACAGCATAATGTTGCCGCTGGGGATGGAAAGTATAGCAGAGGTGGTGCTGATGGTGGTAGGGGTGTATCAGGAGCAGATTCTCGCCTGACAGCATTTGAAGACAGGGGTGGGCTGATTTTTTTTCCCTATGACCGAAGGCAGTGTGATAGCTGAAATGTCAGTTTCTGGAAGAGGGAAATTGGCCATTCAGGGATGAGGGTCTTCACAAAAGCAGGGATAGGATGTGGCACAAAAAAATATCCAGACAAACACAAATTCTCCATGGGCAATTTCCAGCCTGGATGACTCTGGGCAAGGCGTTATGAGGGCTGAAATATGAGCGCATTTTGGAAAAGCCATATTTTCAGGGCGCTTTTGTATCAGTGAGCAATTTGATCTGAGAGAATTTAACCATAAAGTGAAACAATGTAGGGAAAATTGTTTATCTATGCCTGCTTAAATCTGCCTGCCAACACGACAGCATGGAGGACATTTGGCTTCTTTTTGTTTTGTGTATTTCTTTAAGGTGTCAGATATCCTACCTGGCTAGTTTGAGTGGGGCCAAAACTAATGTMGATTTAAAGCATCTTAAAACAACTCCAATCTCAAATATTTTGCAGAGTTTCTTGCAAACATTGGCAACAGTTTTGCATTACATCGCTCCTTACTTTATGGGTATTTGCAAGAACAAAATACAGGAGCAGCTTTTAGCTTCTTGTAAAAATATTTTAGTTTTGCCAAAATAAGCATATAATTAAAAAAATGGTGGTAAGGTATATTTTTATTAAAGCGTATCAATATCAATAACTGCGCCCATTTAAAGAGCTATCAACAGCAGGTGAGATATTGTTTGTTCAGAACGTTTCTGCATAACCCCACTTCAACAGGCCTGAAGAATCCCTTTAATAGCTCCTTACTGCATAACGTTTATAGTGGTGCTGTTCCCAAATAAAAAGAATTGTCTGCAAGAGATTAAGCAGATGATACAATTTACTTAATGAATTCTTTTGTGCAGCAAAAATAATCTGCCTCTGGGGTGTTGACAATTGTTCCGCATTTTATTGCAACGTGATTCGGGAGGATATCATTTCCCAACAGCCTTCAAAAGAACAAGGAGAGCCATAAGTCCTGTCTGCTCATGTTGTGTCAAAACCTTGACAAACCCCAAATTTCCAGTGCTTTTTTTTCTAAATTTATTTATTTTTTTTGCCCGTTGAGGATTTATGGGTCAAAAAGTCAATTGCAAACTGAAGCGCAGCGGTAAAAGGAGCTGCGGTGTGTGAGTTTTAGCACCGGGCTAACCACTGAGACAGAAAAGGCTTCTCTTTGGCCACTTCTCTTGTACTGCACACACCAGCCAGGGGGCACAATTTAAAGGCTGTCGCAGACAGACCCTCATGGAGAACAGCAGGAGGAGCCTCTTTCTCAGCCCTTCGACCGATCACATACAATACCCGCTGCACAAAGGGACCTGATTTGACGTGGATTTACATCAGCCTCCCACCTGTCCGGGCTGTCGCACAGTGAAAGGTCATTAGTCTTTTAGAAATAGGAAGAGCCTGAAGGACCAGCAGAAGGTAGAGGGTGGCGGAAGAATGAGGAGAAAATTAATGGACGGTTCACCCTGTCTCCTGTCAATATCTCACACAGGCAAACATTCGTAAAGAACAAAACACCTCATTAAAATAAAAACCGTTTGTTACGCGCTCGTATGTGAACAAAAGGCTGTGTTTGACAGTTGTGTGATGGCTTTAACTGGAGTCTGTAAACTGCAAAACAAAATGGCAACAGGAGACGGGCACTGCAAAATGTGGCTAATTCAGCAAGGGCTGAGGAGGAGTGATGGGGTGTGTGGCTGTGAAGCAAAGCCGCACACAAACTGCACAAGGTTATCATGCTAAGACCAATCAATGGTGCAGGAACACACACTAATTAAGCTACTGTAGCAAGCGTGATTAGTCTGGGACAACAAATCCTCGCACGGACCGCAACATGATTTTGTCTGGCATTAAATCCTCCAGAAAAGAGGAGTGGGAGTCACAGCAATAATTATATGCAGTTTGAGCACCTTTTTACCAATCTCCTGTGTCTCATTACAGAGAGCTGAGGTCATAGATCTTCCAAAGCTCGTGCACTACAGAAATACTGTTTAATGGAAATTGGTAGAATCTGTGGATACAAAGTTACTAATTGAAGGGGTCATGGCCAAAAGCACAAACACTGAACATATAGATCCTCCAGGTTTTATTCAGAGCCAGAGAAAATTTGCTTCCCAYTGCTTTAATTCATTCATGTGAGTGTTATGGATATGGTATGAATCATATACTTGGATTTAACAGCAGTAGACACATATTATACATGAGTTTCTAAATGCCTACAGGCAGTTCAGCAGAAATGTCTGGGCTATTAGAATACTATAGTACCACTCTTTGAATCTGTGTAGGTGAATGAAAATATCTTGCTTTCCCTACTTGTTCAGAATCAGAGATGATTTACTGAAGAACAGCGCGCTGTGCCCAGGCGTTTCAGGAGACTCTCTCGTCAGCTATTAGAAATTTAGTGGTGATAACTTGATAATCTGCATTGAGTGAGCTATTTGGCAGCATATGTTGTCCTTTTGTTTGGGAGAAATCCTCATGGGCCCGTTGGGAACAAGCAGATGTCATCATTCGCCTGGCAGAGCACGATGATGAATAACCATGGAGTTATCAGACTCACAGAAAACCTATGTCACAGTGACAAAGCTGCATGTTTTGGCAGTTTTCTTCCCCCCCTCTGCCTCCTCACTGGTTGTTGGTTATTGATTAAAAATACAGGATCATTCAAAATGAGGTTCTGTGGAAAGGTTATAAACAATTAACACATTATCTCTTGTAGATAGCTCTTTGAATAACCGGAGTTTGGAGGAATGGAAATTTCTTCTAAACAAAATAATGAGCT